CTGATAAATAAATGTAATATGTAATTTGTTTATCTTCCTAATTGAAGTTCTTTATCTTTGGTTGTGTTTGTGTTTTAACTTTAACTCTTTACGAATGGTTCTGATCAATGAGCTCAGCTCTCAGGACTCTACCTGTGGCGCGGGGCGTCCAGCGTGCGTCTCGCCTTCTCCTTCCCACCTGAAGCTGTCTGGGTCGCGGGCATGTTGCCGGACAAAAAGTCCAGCTCTCGGTCCAGTGAGCGTGGCAGGGGGTCGATGGTCAGTCGGGGAGGGCTGTGGTGGGTGTAGACGGACATGCTGGGGTGTTCGATCAGCAGGTTCTCCAGAGGACTGGTCTCCAGGAGGACGGGCTGTCTGCTGCGGCCGGTGAAGCAGGGCGGGGGGGTGACAAACCAACTCTCCTCCAGAGAGCAGGCGTCCAGGCGCAGGAAGCCGCCTTCTTCTTCGTCCCCATCCTCTTCATCTTCCTCGGCGCCGCCATCCGGGTCAGTGTCAGTTGTGGAGTTGAGGGAGGTGCAGGAGGCGTAGCGGATGGGGGGGCTGGCCATGGGAGAGGGAATCATCACCAGATCTTCCTCCTCCTCCTCCTCCTCTTCCTCTTCACGAGCACCAGAGGATCCAGAGAGGCCGTCCCCACGCTGACCGGAGCAGGCTTCAGCTGCAGAGACAGACAGATACGATTCAACACATCAGACCAGAATCACTAGAGTTTTAGAATTCGCTCAGTGTGTAACTGCGTGTATGTTCCACGTCAGTCGTCTCTGTGTTGATTCAATAAAAACACTGCTCCATGTTTAAAACCAGGACGACATCAGTGATCGGAGCGAACCAACAACACTCCCAACGCTGCTATTTGCAAACACAGGACGAGGCCGAGCCAAGAGCTCCAGAGTCCGATGATTCACCGAGACACAGGAAGTTAAGAAGGTGGAGAAGAAACGAGCTAAAAATAAGTTCTGAGCAGACGTCTCCGTTTGATTCCAGCTCTGTTTAAGGACCTGATATTTTCTCGTCTGAAACTAAATAAAGACGTCCCCCAGGTGGCTCGATCGGTGTCTGGCTGCAGTATAGGTCCTAAACCTCCTCCATGTTAGCAGATGGGACATGGACCAAACTAAAAGAATTAAAGTAAACGTTAAACAAATCATTTCAGGTCGTTGTTGTCTCACTGATGTTTGATGGAGATTTGACTTCTAATTGCTTCAGTCTGTAAACTACAGAGACGCGTCCACGTTTAATCGTCATGTGTCTTTTAGTCTGAGGCTGAAGGTCGACAGCTCAGGTGTGTGGAGCTGCAGCACGTTGACCGTACACGTCCACAGCGGGAAACCACCGGAGCTTTTTATACCTCTGGTTCCTCTGAAGCTTTGTTTGACTTGTTTACAGGGTGACCACCATAACCTGCCTCCACCCCCCCCCCCCCCCCCCCCTAAATATTTAACACATCTGTGGAATCTGAGACCATCGACGGGGGAACGGGGTTCAAACCCAAACACTCACTCAGAGACATATGG